GATGAAAAACCCAATAACTGATTTTGGCCCGACCCCGGTTTCAAACGATACGGAACGGGACCACATGATCATACATACCTACATGATGATATATACATGATGGATGAAAAACCAAATAACTGATTTTGGCCCTATCCCGGTGTCGAACGACTCGTAACGGGACCATATAATCATACATAAATACATGATAATATATACATGATTGATGAAAAACTCAATAACTGATTATGGCCCGACCCCGGTTTCAAACGATACGGAACGGGACCACATGATCATACATACCTACATGATGATATATACATGATGGATGAAAAACCCAATAACTGATTATGGCCCGACCCCGGTTTCAAACGATACGGAACGGGACCACATGATCACACATACCTACATGATGATATATACATGATGGATGAAAAACCCAATAACTGATTATGGCCCGACCCCGGTTTCAAACGATACGGAACGGGACCACATGATCACACATACCTACATGATGATATATACACGATGAATGAAAAACCCAATAACTGATTTTGGTCCGACCCCGGTTTCAAACGATACGGAACGGGACCGCATGATGAACAGTTGCGATTACGAACACTAGACCAATGAGGCAGGCAATAAAATATTTTAAGTATCAGTTAGACAACATGAAATAATACGATACCTAATGATTCTTATATTTACAGGAACACTACACATTGAATAAAACTAATTTTACGGATTTTATCGCGCTTAATTTACATAACTTTAATACCCAACGTTTAGGGTGCTTTTCAGCACCTTGCCCCCATGGTCATAGGGGACTGAGGCGATTGACATCGGGACGTCAATTACCTGATATCGGGACGATGATTTGTGAAATGTTGGGAATTAAAATTAAGTAAATTAAACGCGATAAAATCCGTAAAAGTGGTTTTATTCAATACTTTTACGGATTTTATCGCGTGTTCACATGGTGACGGGAGGAATTAAAAATTAGTAAAAAAAAATTTAACGCGATAAAATCCGTAAAATTAGTTTTATTAAATACGTTACCTGTGTTGCAGGCGTAACAATTTCAAGCTCGATGACGTTGCCACATTACGAAATTTATATCAACCAGAGTCTATAATTGTAGCACGTGTTTACTAACGGTTGCCAGATATCGAACAACAATGTACATACAAATAGAGATGTTAATATTCATGTGTTCAAACTATCGAGTTCCCAATTTGTGACCTTTTGCAAGTTTATTTTTTTTATATACCGTGTAGTGGCGATGTAAGAATGTCTACTACCCCATATCACCTCTTGGGTGTCGTAAGAGGCGGCAGGCGGAATGGGTAGCAGCGTCTTCCTAATAACGACTAAAAATTAAAAAACTACGGTTGTCAACCCGCTTGTCAAACGTGGCAACCATGGCATATATCCCCCTGTGAGGGGATATATGATAACGGTAACAGTTGTTACGATACTTACGAACTTACGATAGTTTAATCATATGTGTTCATGATTCTTCACGCGGCTAATGAAATTTATTTAAAAATAAAGAACCGCCCGGCTTCGCCTGGGTTCGCCTTCTATTAATGTGGCGTTATTTAGATTCAAGATAATCCAAGTCCATTAATTTTATGAATTTTTCGTTTCAAAATCTTCAATTTTTTCGGATAAAACAACTAGTAACTAGATCCCTCCTGGCATTTCTCTCTTTCTGTTTGTAAAGTTTAATTACAATCAGTTCAGTCATTGTGAAAATTAGAAGGACAGATAAACAGACAGACACACAGACAGACTAAAATTTCAAATACTTTTACGTGGTAGAACCTTGCTGCAGCTATATTAATAGTATAGTTGTAGCACGAATGGGTCGGCTCGACCGGAGTAGGACCACGCTCTCACAGAATACCAGCGTAAAATAGCAGCTTAATGCTGCTGTGTTTCGTATGGTGAGTGTAGAAAACCGGAGACCCTTTTTACTGGAAAAGAGGCATTCTATCTTAGTTCTCACGGCTGACAACGCATCTGCATTTTGATTCGCAAACGAAGGATAGAAAGATGTCTATGGGCCACAGCAACAACATACCATAAGGTGGACTGTGTGCTCGTTTGTCACCCTTATTCTATAAAAAAAAATAGTCCTCAGTAACAAGGCATCTGCATTTTGATTCGTTATCGAGGGTGTAATATGTAGATATCTATGGGAAACAGCAACCAAATGGTGGTAAGTACCATCAGGGGGACTGTGTGCTCAAATTTCACACCTCTCCTATAAAAAATAGCCCTCTGAACATAATAAAAGCCAGTTATTTCAATATAATAGACAGACCCTTTAATTTTGTATTACATATAGATGAAATTCACCTTTGTTCTCAAAATGTACGAAATTCAAATGTCGTGAATAAATAAGGCTGTTACGTTTACTTTACTGTGATAGTGTAACGTTGTTAATTTCAGTATGGAGGAGACTTACGAAATTTCACGAAATGGTGACGTTTATCTCTACACACAAAATACACTAATCACCTATCATTGGCGGATAGTGAGCAAAGCGTATAATAGTAGAGAGGCGCAACCGCGGCGTCTCGCATGCCGAAGATTCTTGGCTATACTTGCGACATTCGAAATTTATGGTGTTGGTCACACACAGCTGTAATGTTGTCAGTTGTTTTTTTTATAGAATAAGGGTGACAAACGAGCACACAGTCCACCTGATGGTAAGTGGTTGCTATGGCCCATAGACATTTACATCTATCTTCGATTACGAATTAAAATGCAGATGCCTTATCACCACGTCAGGACTAAGATGGAATTGAGCACTTCCGACGTTTGGCTACCAAACTGGAACGGACCGGGGCTGCCTTCAGGCGGCTCCTGCCGAACCTGGGGGGGCCAAACGCCTCCTGCCGGAGGCTCTACGCGGGGATCGTGAGGTCCATGGCCCTTTACGGGGCCCCGGTGTGGGCGCGTGGTTTGGCGCGGCTTGCCGTCCACCACCTAAACGCGCCCCAAAGGGTGGTTGCCGTAAAGATGGTTCGCGGCTACCGCACGATCTCCCGCGAGGCGGCGAGCCTCCTTGCCGGATTGCCGCCATGGGATCTGGAGGCGATAGTCCTCGCGCGCCTGCACGAATGGCGCGCGGCAGCACTATGCCGGGGGGAAACCCCGCTGCCGCGGCAAGTTGTCGCGCAGCGGACAGACTTCCGGCATGATCTCATGGCGACATGGAGAGAGCGACTGTCGCAACCCCGTGCTGGGCACGCCACTATAGCGGCGATAAGACCCCTCTTTGAGGAGTGGCTTGAGAGACGCCACGGCGTCCTCACCTTCCGCCTGACGCAGGTCCTCACCGGACACGGTGTGTTCGGGAGGTTCCTGCACCGAATCGGGCGGGAGGAAACGCCCGGGTGCTCCCACTGCGAGGATCGACCGGAGGACACGGTGGAGCACACCGTGGAGGTGTGCTCTGCTTGGGCGGAGCACCGCCGTGTCCTCGTAGCGGCGATAGGCGGCGGCGACCTCTCGCGTCCGGCTCTGGTCGAAGCCATGATCCGGAGCGAGACGGAATGGGATGCCGTCACCACCTTCTGCGAAGCAGTGATGCTAGCGAAGGAGGTGGCGGAGCGGGAGAAGGAAAGAGCAACAGCTTTCCTTCCCGGCCGCCGCGGGAGACGCCCCGGGCGTCGGGGGCTACGTCGTGGCCCCCGACCACCGTAGGCGCGGGCCTGTGGACGGCGAGCAATGGGTAGCTCGCCGTCCGTCCGTCTAACGACGACAGGCCGTGTCGACGGCGCGTTTTGTTCCACGCGCGCCTCAAAGAGCTGTCAGCAGCGTGAAGGGGCCCGCAAGGGCCGACGCCTGCCGGGGCTGCGGGCTGTTCGAAAGAGATACCGCGGCTCCGGAACGTAAGGGCACTGAAGGAACACGGATGGTTTTTAGTCAGTAAAAGTCTGACACTCCCTTCCGCTCCACCCACAGCGAAAGGCGTCATTAGATGATTTTCCATCCGCAAAAAAAAAAAAAAGGACTAAGATGGAATGCCTCGTTTCCAATAAAAAGGGGTCTCCAGTTCTCTACACTCACCTTACGAAACATACCCCGGTCGACCATTCGTGCTACAACTATACTACTAACATAGCTGCAACATGGCTCTACCGCGTAAGTAAATCTAAAATTTTATCCGTACAGGTACTGAAATTCTTTTAAAGAAACCTACTTTCGATTCCGACCCGTTGGACTCGTGACATATTACATCGACATGTCACAGTAGATTTGTCGCAGCCAACTAGCTTAATTATCCTTTCAGTTAATAGCCCAACCTTTTTACTAAACGGCGCCGTTCAACTAGCGGCCTGAATGATATTCACCCGATGCCTCTAATACAACATTGCACCTATCTTGTAATATCAGCGACAGTAGATTATGTTGCGGCCTGGGTTTCCCTTGGGCCATCTTAAAGCTATGTACACTTATACTATAATCTCAGAATAAATAATATAGCACATAGCGCATAATTAGGCACAGACCAACGACATTACATGGAATGATCACCTTACTAATTTCATTAAACACAACGGCTAAACTATGAAATTAATTGAAAGACTAATTAAGCTATTTGACTGTGACAGATACAAAATTACTGTCAACATTTTGCTACAAATGTCACTCGTTCTTGTGAGCTAGTGAATGCGTGTCACGCCATAAATTTTCTAATCGGCAAAATGTTTGTATCGCCTCAGGAGGCTTCTGAACGAATCCCTGTTTTACATTAGATGGTGTTACGGTCATGTAACATATAACAATAACATCTCTGCCCTTGTCTCACGTAACTATCAATGTGTCCACATTGAGTCGATACAGTATACTCGTATACAAGTCTTACTTGTAGAACTGATATATTATTTGTTTTAAAAAAAAAATTCATAAACAATTTGTAATTGGAAAAACATCCAGAATATCACTGCTAAAATAATACATTTCATTTGCCAATTATATAATAAATATTTTTTAATCTTTTGCAGAGCTGTCATTACAGAACATGGAGTGTATCCCTCCACGTTCTCAATCAATACAATTAATACAAAATGTAAAGAGAGTGATGTCGATGAAAGTATCTACGATCCATTCCAGCACAGAAAATTAGAACACCCAAATTCGTAAGTTGTGCAGTTACTAACCAATAACCATAAAAGGCTTTAAAGTCGATACGTATTCTATCCAACCTCAGCACTAGTTTTATTGGGCAAGGGAAATTCTCCTGCCCAAACAGCTACGAAATATTCAGAAGTTTCCAAAAATAATTTTTAAATTCAATATTACCTGAATGTAACATCACCCAGAACATTTTTTTTTTTGGTAAAAGTTTGGAGATCTCGTATACACGTACGCAATCTCCGTACTCTTGGTTATATCGAAGAATTTACGAATTAACCGGATAAAACTTACATTAAAACAAAGATAAATATTATATTATAAATACGTTGAAATTCACCGGATAATTTTCATGATAAAAATTACATTAAAACCAAGATAAATATTATATTATAAATAAAAACGTCAAAATTCATTAAATTAAGATCAAAAATAAAAATATCTTTTTATTCCAGAGACGTGAGATCATTCGCCAACCTATTAAAGTCGTCACTGGGCTCCGGTATCCTAGCGATGCCGGCAGCATTCAAAAACGCTGGTACACTGGTGGGCGTGTTTGGCACTATTATCCTTGGATATATTTGTACACACTGTGTTTATTTGTTGGTAACTATTTTAAACCTACTAGTAAGCTATACTTAAAAATAAACGACAATTTTCATCGTATTTATAAAACCAGTCTGATTTCACAAGATTTTTTTAACTTTTTGCTTCATATAGACTATGACGATATCTACAGGATACAATGAGACAGATTCTCTCGGATTCTGTCGAAAAGACACCACAACAACACAGCAAATATTAACTTCTTTTAAATTCAAAATACTCCTCTGAAAACTGTTTTGGAGTAGAAACTTCTGAAGATGAACTTCAACTTCAACATGTATATATTTTTGCATGCCGTAACCGCCTAAGCGCTTCGGTATTTTCTACTAGGGTCTAATTTTTTTTTAAATTTTGTCTTTTTTTTTCTTATCCCATAAGCAGTCTAAGGTTAAGTTGGCAAAAGAATAAACATACATACGTACATTATATACATTTAATCACCCCAAAAACATAACTCCTCCTTCTGGGCAATCGGGTAAAAAGATAAACATTAAAAATGTTCAGCCTTGAACTCTTACGAGCACAGTATTTTTGAGTCTGCAAGGTATTCCGATAAACGTAACCTGAAGTGAGGCACTAACATAAAGCAAAGCATTCAATCTAAATCAGTTTAATATTAGCAAGTGTTTGAATGAGTACAAATGTTATTTTCCATTTATTATCACTTTATTAATTCAATCAACCATGGTATTTTATCAATAGACAAAAGTTGCAAGCTTAAAACAAAGAATATAATTTTATTTTAGGAGAATTTTCCACCTTAACTGATATGTACTTTATTTGTAAAAACTAATTTTACAGGTTAAAACATCGCAGGATGTAGCAAAAATAACAAAAGTTCCATCTCTTGGATATGCCGAAACAGTTGAGGCTGTTTTCGCGACGGGCCCACAATGTTTGAGAAAACTTTCTAGAACTGCAAGGTAAAAACAAAATGATTACATAATTTAAAGATATTCTTGTGCTATTTTAAACTGGTTGGGATAAAAATAAACTCTTATAATAATAGTCACATCGTTTTCAAAATTTAGATATATATAATACCCAGGGTCAATGGACCGCTTATTCTTGCTAGGTGGCACACGGTCTGGTGGCCATCGAACTGATTCCTTTGCGCTGTCTGTTCCGGGTCTCCAGTCCTTGAAGACTTTATTTAATCTTCCCTGATAGATTTTTCATCATCCATCAGTCCTCAAAACAGAGTGCACAACCTGCAGTAGATATTAACACTCGGTGAAGAAGTTGGTGTTTTTCCCCTTAACACCCTTAATTCTTTAATATACGTATCTTTGTACTACTAATTAAAAAATTTATATAAGTATTTACTGTTATTTGGGTCGCTGGTGGAGTTTTAAAGGGTTTCCCTAAACTACATTATATTTAAAACTAATTTATCTAAAGCAAATGAATATGCCCATGCATTATTTCAAATATGTACTAAAACAGTAATGGAACAAATTACAATATTGTATGCCTCGAAGAAATCGCTCTATAGTACCTAATAAGACCGCCGCTGATAGTCGTTGACAGCACTATGTACGAAGTCGTTGACGAGTAGGTCTACCTAGGACAAATTGTCCAACTAGGTAAGTGCTACTTCAACCAAGAGGTCAATAACCTTCACCATGAGCTCTGATATCAGTATAATCGGCACCAGGGTGCCCCCCCCCCCCCTTCAAATGGAGTGATGAACTGGAAAGAGATGCAGGATGTCGATGAATGCAGTGCTTTTTTACTTTCCAGTCAAAGTTATATATCATTCCATTTCAATGAATGTATTAGTATTCCTAATTAAACAATATGACTCTTCCAAATTTAAAACGATATTTCCACAATTATTTATTCTGCGGCAGAAACGCGCCGGTTACCATCTAGTTTTCAATAACAAAAGCCTGCTTAATATAATACCCTCGACACTTTCATACTTAATGAGGACAATAACTGATTTATATTTAACCTGATCTGATTAATTCATTTTCAACAAATTCCGTATATAACGGAATAATTAATAAATTATGACTGATAAGCAGGTTGCTCACCTTGGACTTGTTTATGGGCTAATAACACGGGCACCTTCTGAAGACGCTGTTACCTTCGTTCTGTTTTATTTCTTTTCTCTTGTCTTCTGTATATGCATTTTGTAGCATTGAATATTTATTTATTATTTATTTATTTGGTCTACCAACGACTGTTACAGTACAGAAACATAAAGTAGTTACATTGTAATAAACTATTATGAGCTAAATGCACAATCAGTTACAGGTAAACACAGCGTGTTATTTTAACATGTGACATAAGTACCTTTTACGAGTACATTGATATAAGGTTAATTTTAAACTAGCTATAACAGATAACAGATAGGTATAATTAATATAGGATTTTTTTTTTTGACAAATGTTCGCGAAACTCGTTAAGTTTAAGAGCGAAAACATTCTTGGGATCACTAATAAACCATGTATTTAATGCGTTACACATACGAGGAACTGGTGAATGTTTTCCTAAAACAGTCCTACGGAATGGCGGATAAAATAGAGAAACAGGTTTCCTTGGAACCCTGAAGGGGATCCTGAAATTAAAAAGGTTTAGAAGAAATGAATATTAGGTCCATAAGGGTCCTTCTTTTGTTCAACGAGGACATTTTAAAGTGTTTGAGGTTTTCATGATAGGATAACTTTTTCTTTGAAACTTTGGGGATGTGAGATAAATGCCATAAAAAGCGTTTTTGGACCCGTTCTATTCTTAATATGTGCGTGGCATAGTGTGGCCTCCATACAACGGGGCAGTATTCAAGAAGACTGCGTACTAGTGCTTTGTACAAAGTGATACGTGTCTGTAAGTTTTTGAACACTTTACTGTTTCTAATAATAAAACCCAGCATATTAGATGAGCGCCTAACAATGCTTTCAATATGTGGTACGAAAGTTAATTTGTTATCTAGAATTATTCCCAGGTCCTTAATTCTATCAACTTCTTTTAATGGTTTACCATCAATATAATATATGGATTTAGTGTTACTATGTTTGCGTGTAAATTTAATAAAAAAGCAAAGTAAGAAGTATTACATTCACTTAAACCTCCTTCATTCGTCGTAAGTGGTCCACATAATGTGGATACAAAAGGACTACTTTAAACGCTACTGCTTCTGCGTTTTTTGATGACATAATATTTGCCAACAATATATTCTGTTGTCTCTTAAGAGTTCAATACTTAAATCTTCATTCTTATTCATTTATATACAAGATAGGTTTTATCCTAGGTAATATTATGTCACAGTCAACTTGTGAAATTCGCCGCAATACAGGTGGGCTAGCTGTTTTCAAAATTGGACCCGTTTTGTATTGCGGCGAATCAATGTTTAGCCGGATTGTCATTGCGATACCTTATACAAAATGGCTATACGTATTTACCCGCGTTGTAATAAAGTTGCATTGTAGGCTAACCATGACCATGGCTTTACTTAAAAGTCCCCTCATACCTGGAATTTGATTGCAATCGAGATGGACAGACCGACACGGTTATACATTTCACGGAATAATGCAATAAAATAAATTTAATCAAATGAAATCCTTAATCCTTAAAATCCACTCCCTATTGAGATCAGAACTAAAACAGCTGTAAAATTAGAGATTGCTTTGTGGTTTTATTTTTATATAGTTAAACATTATCCTAAATAGTATTTAAAAAAATACTATATTAGATATCTTTGTTTTATTCTTGAACTTGATTTACCATAGTAAACTTCAATTCTACTTTGCGTGACTTTACTTTGTGCGCAGCCTTAACCTACTTTTGTAGGTATTTCTTGATAGGTGTTTTAACAAAATAGCGGTTCATGACCCGCTCTATTATAATACTGCTAGCTTATTTTGAATAATGTGAAGCGCTAATACAATGCGGTGAATATTCATTCAGCGTTCATCCACCGTAATTCAAAACGGTTAGTCACTGTGTAGTGCTGCGAATTCTACAATTTGGCTGCAACAAATAGATAAACAGATAACATGCTTCATTTAATTTTATTTCTTCATCATTATAATTAATAATTAATAAATAAATAATTATAGGCACGGCGGTGTAAGAATATCTAATGGCGGACGGATAATGCTAAAGCTAGACACGTGCCTAGGTGCGCACGGTTAAAAAAGGCGCGCGGAGGTTTTTAAGCAAAAATAAATTTGTCTATTTCATTACTCCTACATCGCCTTACTCTTTTTTTATATAGGATAGGGTGACAAACGAGTACACAGACTACATGATGGTAAGTGGTTGTTGTTACCCATAGACAGGATCAATGTAGATCCTCAATAAAGAAATGCAGATGCGTCGTCAAAAAAACTCTCTTATCACATTTTTTATTCACGTCCACCTGTTATGGCTACACGTGTCCTAATTTTTTGCAACTATTAGGTTACTATTATGCTATACTGTTAATTATAATGTACACTCGTGTACAAATTTAGAGGAATGCAAAAAAAGTGTGTTTTTTGGATTCCTCTAAATTAAGTCAGAAGTCGATAGATAGATTCAACTCGGCTGGGCAGCGTTCGGAAGATTCCGACACATCTTCTCGTCAGGTATACCTCCAAACTTGAAAACGAGATAGTATAACCAGTGCGTGTTGCCAATGATGACTTATGAATCTAAGACGTGATCTTTCACTGCTGGCCGTATGAGGAAGCTCAAGGTCGCTCAGCAAGCTATGGAGAGGGCTATGCTCGGGGTTTCTCTGCGTGATAAACTTAGAAATGATTGTATCCGCAGTAGAACCAGAGTAACCGTCAAAGTGAAGAAAGTGGCAATGGGCCGGCAATATAGCTTGAAGAACCGACAACCGATGGGGAAGCAAGATTCTCGAGTGGTAACCTCGTATCGATAGGTGAAATTTGGGGCGGCCTCCCACTAGATGGAGTGACAATCTGGTAAGACATGAAAGAAGTCGATGGATGCAGGTGGTTAAGGACTGAGGAGGCCTATGTGGACTTGTGAAGTGTTGTTATGATGATGATGATGATGATGATGAAATGAAATTCGAAAAAAAATAACATTCCAAAACTTTTTTTAAAAGCATTTATTAATGTGTGTGGCCAGTACGCACGGTAATTACAACAGTAGAATTTAAATTTTTTTGCGTTTCTCCAGTTTGTCCATGGGTGTATTTTATTTGCAAAATTAGTAATCAGTTATAATTTACAATATATGGCCACTAGAGGGGCGCAGATGAGGTGCTAGCTTCATCTTGGGGTGAATGTACATAATTAGTGTTCAATCTATACAATATTTGTATAATTCTTATATTTTGTCCATTTAGATTAGCTTGAGCTAGCGAAATCAAACATGCGCTTTCTCCGACAACAAATAATAATCATATCTGAGAGAAGAGTGTAAAAAATTAATTTTTCAGATAGACTTAATGATTTACACTACCACCTTCCGCCAAGCCCGCTTCTATAATAATTTACATAATATGTTAAGCCTAAAGACTAAATAAGAATTAAGAATATAAATACTTAACAACATAATATTAACTTCCATGTTACTAACGTTACGTTATCTCACTCTTCTCATTAAAGAACGAAAATGTTCATTTTGTATAAATTAAATAGGTAGCATTAAAAATAAACTTAATAAACGCAAATGTATACAATAATGTGAACAAGCTTTCAACACGTGTTTCAGGATATTTATAGACTGGGCAATGGCGTTCACCATTTTTGGCGCCTGTGCTGTCTATGTCATATTGCTCGTGGACTCAGTAAAGCAGGTATTTTGGACGCCTGACAACACTATTTCACATCATGTTCACAGATAAAAATATAAATAGTTCACTTCTAACTTCTGTTATGTATAGTCTATATCTGCTATATTTAAAAAAAATGTTTTAGTAACTTTTTCTAAATGTAAATTACACACAAAATGTTAAAAGTAAAACACAGTAAATGTTAAAAATGCTAAATAATTTTTATACCCTTGTAACCATTTTATAAAAGAAGTCCCTAGCCTAATCTACATACATAAAATTCTACCTATGGCCGCTATAGTCTTTGAAACCATCCTACAGATGTGCCCGAAACTGGTTTCATTAGGTACTATATAAAAAAGTTAATAAATAAACCAAATTTCCTTTTTTTTTTCAAAAAATAAACGAAATTTATTCCTTTTTTAGCGTAGTACCACACACACTTATACATTATACATTCCTCATCTTAATCAGCCTGTGAATAGTACACTGCTGTAAATGGGTATTTTTCTTCTTCTTCATCATCGGCGCGTGAAATTCCCTGCTGGATTTAAATACCACTCATATTTGGGGAACAATGGCTACTATTTCTTTATGCCTTACCATTTTTGGTTATAGCCCTGGGCGGCAGCTACCTCTGCTACGTCACTAAACCTATCTCTATCAATTTCATGTCACTTATCTTTACCTACTCTTGATGATAATTGATTTAAAAAAGCAGTTTGTTTGCCAAAAATTATACGTCTTCATCTTTTTTCTTTTGACTACAATGTTTAGTAATCAAACAACCATGTTACATCGGATACGGATAACGGTAGATTAGCAACAACTCAGGTTATAAAATCTATAATCAAAGAGCAAGATTAATGATTTCTGTGTTGCGCTCTACTTTGTAATAGAACAAGGGTGATAAAACAGCACACAGTCGATCTGATAAGCGGATGCAGTGGCCCATAGACATTTACGTCTATTATCCATTAAGAATCAAAATGCAGATGCGTTGTCATCCCCGAGGACTAAGATGGAATGCCTCGTTTCCCGTAAAAATAAGGGTCTCCGGTTCTCTGCAGTCACCATACGAAACACAGCAGCATTAAGCTGCGATTTTACGCTGGTATTCTGTGAGAGCGTGGTCCTTCCCCGGTCGAGCCAACCCATTCGTGCTACAACCATAATTATAGCTGCAGCGTGGGTCTATTACCTCAAAAACTTAAGTCGTAATATTTCAGAAATTTCGTAAACTGTTGTTGCTGCCGAAGTGAACCGGACAACCAACATGATCGTCCGTGGTGTTTTCGTCAAATTCAGCACTATATGTACATTAAGAAGTAGGGCTAAATGATATTTTTAATTTGTAACTTTTCATTTTGCCAATGTGTAATTTTATTTTCGTAATATTTAACAAATCACATGTGTAACGAATTTTAATCAAAGCACTGTCTAACAAAATTTTATTTTCTAAAACAGATCGTCGCGTATTATTACCAAGATAATGGTTTCACCGATACCATGTACTGTTTGATGTTTCTTGCTCCCATTCTGATATTTACTCAAATAAAGAATCTCAAGTACTTAGCGCCGTTTTCGGGCTTTGCAAATATTTTACTGGTTGCCACCTTCCTAATATGTTTGTATTACATCTGCACTGATTTCCAAAGTATCGACTCAAGACCTATTTCAGTTGGTATTGGGAGATTACCATTATTTATCGGGTAAGTATTGCTTTTAGTAAGTTCTAGTTTAAACACTTAGTTCTTTTTTTATAAATATGAAGTGATAAACGAACTTACAATCCACCTGATTGCAAATGGCTGCTGCAGCAATGGACGCCTATTAATAACTTCAAACAAAGAACGCTACAGATGCCTTTTCTTCTGTGATGACTAAAATGGAATGCCTCACAGCCTGTCATTATTAGCCTGTCACTTTTTATCACCAGTGATCAATCTTTTCAAATATGGTTAGGATTCATTACGTTTCAATAGAGAATCGCAAATGAGTACACGATTCATTACGTTTCTTTCAGTGAGCTCGTATAATAAGCAAATATCAAGCTTTTTTGTATAGCCCGACTTTCTCAAATGGGTCAAAACTATTTTGTGGTCAATCCTCAATTTCTCGAGTATGTCGTAATTACTAAAATGCCGATCTTGCTCCACTTTTTGAAAAATGGCATCAACTTTAACCGTATGAGGGTGACCAGAGCGAGTTGCATCTTATTTTTCTTTTTATTAATGCCCTTCAAATATTGATATTAAAACCAGATACAAACAGTACAACCGAATAGATTTTTCTTCAATATTATACGAACAAAATACGAAGAAACTTTTTCTCCTAAAATTTCCCGTTTTCTATAAATATATTCTAGAAAGATGCATTGTTATGGACGTTGCCGCACGACTTTCTTTTCCATTATGAAAAATTATAAATGACAATTATAAATGAAATTTTAACCTTGCTATTATGTATTTATTCTGTAATTAACAATCTCCTAATCAATTTTCAGTACAGTTATTTTCGCTATGGAAGGCATAGGAGTAGTATTACCAGTCGAAAATTCAATGGCTAAACCGCAGCACTTCCTAGGCTGTCCTGGAGTTCTTAACATCACCATGTCCATTGTGATACTACTCTACATGATTATGGGATTCTTGGGATATATTCGGTACGGTGATGAAGCAGCGGGAAGCATAACTCTAAACTTGCCAACAGAAGAAATGTAGGTTTTCCTCCTCATGATTTTTCTCGATTATATTTTAAATAATAAATTTTCTATTGTGAAGTAGATAATAAAATAGATATTAACATTTTATTAAAATTAGTGCTACGGTCTTTGTATATCACTCGTACCATTTTCTTTTTATATGTTACAAGCTCTGATTTAACTTCACTTGTTAGTATTGTTGTCTTGCAACTGAATATTAAACCAGTTCCATAGATGAAATTTTGCACCCACTTTTAGTACTGGTGATATACAATCTAGTATGCTCAGTATTTTTTCAAAATGCTTCACACTCAGTGGTGACAACGCATCTGCATTTTGATTCTTTATTGAAGATAAAATGTAGATGTCTATGGGCCACAACATCCACTTACCATTATCTAGACAGTGTATTCATTTGTCACCCTTATTCTATTTAAAAAAAAAGGTTCAATTATTAACAAGTGGTAAAATTAAAAATATTGTACAACCGACTTAAATTTATGAGAACATCATCATTTTTTTTTATGGATAAGGGTGACAAACGAGCACACAGTCCACCTGATGGTAAGTGGTTGCTGCGGCCCATAGACATCTACATCTATCCTCGTTTGCGAATCAAAATGCAGATGCGTTGCCACCCGTGAGGACTAAGATGGAATGCCTCATTTCCAGTAAAAAGGGCCTCCGGCCACCTGCACTAACCAAGCGAAACGCAGAGGTAAACCTCTACTTCACGCTGGTATTTTGTGAGGTCGTGGTACCACCCCGGTTCGAGCCGGCCCATCCGTGCGACAGCAAACGCTGCCGCGTGGCTCTACCACTGTTAAGATGTAGTCGAAGTCAATTAAATACACACTATTAAGGATAACTCCAAAACTACTTGTCAGATCTTGATCAAATTTATATGGGACCACATAACAAGCACCAGCTTTCAAATAAAATGAATCATCAAAATCAGTTCACCTAGAACAAAGTTCTGAAGTAGTAAGGTTTTTTTTTTAATTTTCAATAAAACTTCTAACATTTTATATGACTTTACAGCCCAGCATTGATGGCGAAAAGCTTTATCATCATCGCTATTTTCTTCACATACACGCTGCAGTTTTATGTGCCAATGGAAATTGTTTGGCGGAACACGAAGCAATACGTCTCACAAAAGTATTATAATCACGCACAATCTCTTTTAAGAGCTGTGTTTGCTACACTTACAGGTAAAAATATTGTTTAACTTCACTAATTTCTCTTTAACAAAAATATTATACTTTTTATAAGGACTTAGAATCAAAAGTCAATTGTAACATGGGATATCGTGAAACGTAAGTTTTTTATTATTCTTTCCAGTCAAAAATTGGACCGGCACAATTCGTAATTACATTAGTACAATGCTTAACTCTCTTTTGCGGTGCAGTGGCGACGTCGGATGATCCATCACCTGATTTCGTTCCGTATCTCAAGAAACGACTATGGGAAAAGCCAGAAAACTATTCTAGCGTTCAATAGATGGCGGTATAACCATCACGTTTACGCCAGGTGCAAAATAGCCAGACTAGTGACGGGACGCAGTGTCGAAGGCATAGGTAATATACTCAGTGGCGTAGCTACCGTAGGGCTAGACAGGGCAGTGCCCCGGGGCCTCTAAGCTCAAAAGGCCCTTCGGCCTCCATGAACGACGTTCGAAAAAGAATAGAATTATATATAATCCTAGTTAAATAAATAATTATCGACTTTTAACTTTTTGACTGACCAACAATTTATTCGAATGGCTCGAACTGAAATCCCAGACATTTCTCCCACATCCAAACTATAAACATAATATTTATATATAAAATTGTCTACTTTGTTTATTGTCTACCTATATTATTTACTGTAATCTACTTCATTTCTTATTTCTAATTAGATTCCACCCGCGACTTCATTCGCCTGATATGGACTAACATTAAAAAACTGATGATAAAGTGGTTGTGCACCTAAAAAGTATTTAGGCTAGTTTAGTTTAAATAGGGCCCCAATTTCATTTTTGCCCCGGGGCCCTTGGTTACATAACTATGTCACTGTATACTACTCGAAGGTGTGAAACGTATATCCTACTCCGGTCGAAAATCCACCCGCCAAGCACAAATTATACAGTTGTATGCACAGCCGCCAAGCAAATTCTCCCTAAAACGGGTAAGATTCTTAATCAAAGATATTTGTAGATGTCTTTGGACCACAGCATCCACATACCACGAAGTGGACTATGTTATATCCTTATTCTATAGGGCCACGAGAATCAGTCGTGGAAAAAAATCTCTAGTATTGTATTGTATTGCGTACTTCCTAGTATTTCTTATTGTCGACTGTGGATATAAGTTCTCAGCAGGATAGAGAGCAATAGACCATTACATCGTCTTCGCACGATAAATAATGTACAACACTTGTTTTCAGTTGTCGCAGCTGCCACTTTACCAAAACTTGAGCAAGTAATCGGTTTGGAGGGAGCTTTCTTCTATTCGTTCCTGGGACTCATCGCGCCATCTTTGATGGATCTCATATTCTGTTGGAATAGGGATCTTGGCAGATATAAATATGTTCTTATTAAAGACATTATACTTATAGCGTTTGGATTTTTCGTGTTGGTCACTGGGGTTATGCAAAGTATTAGAGAAATTATTCGTATCAGTGAGTGACAAGTGATAATAATCTAACCACCATAATGATCCACGACTTTTTCCGCCACCAGGGCGGCGCCACTAGAAAGTGAGGTAAAATATTTGACAGATTTCATAGCGGGGAAGTTAATATGTTCGGAAAACGTGAATGTTATTGTTTCTTTCGGTAATATCACTTATATTTTATATTAATAAGATTTAAAATATATAAACCAAACCACAAATATTCAATAAAGTAGAAAAAATAAAAAAAGAGTTAAAAATGTGTATTAATATAATACTAATAAAAACCAAGTTCTCAAATGACATTGTGTAACTAAAAACTTTACCTCAGTGTCAACTAGCGACATCTGGTGAGCAGAAAATTATTAGCCCTTATTGGTTAACAATGTTATTCAGAAACAATAATTTTACTGTATTTGCTAACGTATTATTTTGGAAAATTAAAAATTGAGAAGCTGAATACATTGAACATGTGATTTTTTATAAATATTACAGGGATAAAATAGTGTGTCAATTGCATATGTGCGAAAGCGTAGTCCAATCGCAATCGTAGGATTGGGCATATTCTAATCAGACTGGGCATTTCATGATTTGGCCGACCATTTATCTGTCATAACACTTTGTACCTACATAATTTATTTAATATGTAAACCACCTTAACATACTGTCGCAGATATTACTAGATAGATGCTTTCGTATTTTTAATATATTAACAGAAGTCAAAGTTATAAAATTATCAGCCAAATCATGAAAAGCCCAGGCAGATTACGAAATGCCCAATTCTAACGATTGGACTAAAACACATATAAAATGTATTATAGTACATATTGTACTAACCGGTTTTATAAACATTTAGATAAATTAATGTAAATATATTTTATAACTGTATAAATAATAGAGAGAAAGAGAGAGAGAGAGAAGAAAAGCAAGAGGTCAATTATGCTTTAATAGACTTTAAGGATTTACTTTTGTTTGGAATTACGTTCACAAAGCAACCTCCTTCTTATTATAAATAGCGATAATTAAAGATTTTTTATTGTACATACAGTTCTCAAGGGGAATTAAATTTATTCTTCACATTTTGTTTTTTATTCACCATAATAAATTTTTTGTTACGTTATATTTTCTCAGTGATTACAAAAAACTAGCACACTAGACGTATGTGTCTAGTGTAGTCTAGAGTGTCCTATATTCTGTACTGTCCTAGGAAAGTAAACCATTTTAACATAATTGAGGCCAATGCAAAAACAACATAGCAGAAGTAATTTATGTTAGACTAGCTGTCCCCCGCAACGTTGCCCGCGTGGAATTTATTACGATTGGATTTCATGGGTTTTAATTTTTTGGGTTGAGACCCTAATTTTCTTCTAAAATAAAAGTAGCCTAAATTACTCCTTATAACAGTTATCTGCCAGTGAAGTCCCACCAAAATCGGTCCAGTCTTTTAGGAGATTAGCTACGTTTATGAAAATAACAATCGTTTTTGTTTCATCCAAATTGGTGCAGAAATACAAAAGTTATAACGTTTTGAAGTTTCGCAATTTTTTCTAATTTTTATCGGCTCGTTCTCTGTGACGTGACGTCACAATTCGACAGAGCGAACGCACAGCAGGTACTTGCTAAGTTCAGTACTAACTACTAACCGCGCGCTCGGAAGTATACGGTCGTTTACCTACATATTATATCGAATGTTTGAGTTAATGTCCGGTTGACTGTATTACATGACATAATATAATAAAACCAACGACTAATAATTTTGAATTAATAATTTATGAATAATCTAATATAATATGAATAATCTAATCCAATATAATCAATATTATTTAAGATAATTAATTTAATCTAATAATCTAATCTATTATCATGAATAATGTTATCAATTAACTATTAATAACATTCTGATCATAGCACAGACTGAACTTTATTTGTATTTAAATAAGACCTTTTAACCTGTGTGTCACAAATAAACTACCTATTTGATTTGATTTGTTTTATAAACTAACGTATTAAGCATTTAGCTTCTATATGATTATATTTGTATGTTTAGTCACGGTGTGTAGTGCTGTTAAAAAAGAAAATGGAAGCGGGCTTCGTAAAAGGACAGTCAGATAATCTGCCAAAAGTGGATATTTCTATGGTTGCGCAGTATATTTCAGAAAATAATGATTTTGTATCATCAGAAATGCGTGGAATAAAGCTCCAAAGGTAGTTATATATAATACTAATAAAATATTACGAAAAGTATGCAGCTTTACTATTGATTCGTAAGTAGGCAGTAATACATAGCTAGGTATTAACTGATCGAACCACGAAGTTGTTACAACGACATAACATGAAAAAACTTACTTAAACTTACTCTGAATGATGTTGAAACGCTACGAACACTGACTCCAACTAACTTCTACCTCACACAATTTCTCACCGGACACGGTTATCACAAAACATATCTGCACCGTTTTAAAATCATTAAAAACGATAAATGTCCGTGCGACAACCGCACAGTTCAGACGTTGGAACATCTATTGGAGAACTGCCCCGCCTTCTGCCGATACAGAATACACCATGAATTACTGTGCAATAACTTAAGAGTGTCGCCATACAAACTCACAGAACTGATGACGAAGGAATCAGCTCTGCATTCCTTCATAAAACTTAATGAAAATGTACTTAAGAACCTAAAGAACTTTAATAAGATTGTAAATAGCGGTACGAGTAACAATGATTAAATTTGTAAGTAGGTATAAAAATAATTATAAACCAAAGAATATAGACATATAAGGTTTAGAATGTCTTTCTGTTCTTTTTCATTACTGTTTTTTTTTTTGTAATTTATCTGCTAGTTTTTTATAGTTATATAGACTAAGAAGATGTAATATTTTACAAGGTCTTTTTGTTTTCGTTATTATTGTTTTATAATTATAGACTAAGAATATGTATGTGCCATTTTGTTATCTTTTATTACTGTATCTATTGTTAATCACCGATGTAAAATTTCTATATTGTTACTATGTTAATTGTAGTACGCAATTGCAACCGCTATTAGTTTTTATTATTGTTGATTTTGTATATGCTTTACGTGCCACTAAAGTTTATAGAAAGTAATAGAGAGTGGAAGACAATTACGTATCAAATAGCGTAAATTGTTTCTCCACGCTCAGTGTGTAAAAATTTATAAAATTGTGCGACCGATATAAAATGTCTGTAGGAAAAAAAAATGAAAAAAAAATGCAATGAGTATTAATCAACTCTTACTATTATTTAGTACCTAGTGACAAGTGAAGAAATTTTGATTGTTACGTAGTTCGTCAGTGGTTGCAAATATTTGGTCCTAGTTTTACTTTGACTTATTTTTGAATAAACTGATTGCGGTATTACATTGGTAGTTGGTACCTATTGTGTTTTGAAAATGCAATGGTCGCAAACATTCAGTGCGTGTAATACTAAACTGATTTGGATAAAATTTTGCATAAAGGTATAACACGATGTGCAGGATTTTATCTTCTCATATCGGATTTTTATTCCTTTTGAACGTGTTCCTTAAGGAGCGTGATATAACAGAAATTAAAAAAAAAACAGAAAATAAAGGTAAAAGATAAATAAATAACATGACATGAAAAAAAATATGATAAAAAATAATATGGCAAGTGGGACTCCACGATCTTGACGATTTTTATGGCTGTTCGACACGAAAACTCGTTTGGGTTTGTAATGTGTCGTCCGGCAAGTTAATATATATTATTGTTCTTTAACTTTAACGTATTGCTATTATATGTAGGTTAACAAAGAGTCAAAGGTTCGCTATCCCTCACTTTACTATCGATTTTATTCTTGGATTTATTTTAATACATACTGTCACAGCAGTTTATCCCTGACCCCTGATCAATGGCACTCGTCTTATCAGCGCACGTACCACACGCACACAGGCGCACTACGCTGAGTGGTACATGGCATATCGATCTTGACCTTGCAAATAGCGATACAATCGTATTATGCTTTAAGCTTACACGGCACGCGGATCTTTTTTTTTTATAGGATAAGGGTGACAAACGAGCACACAGTCCACCTGATGGTAAGTGGTTGCTGCGGCCCATAGACATCTACATCTATCCTCTGTTACAAATCAAAATGTAGATGCGTTGTCACCCGTGAGGACTAAGATGGAATGCCTCATTTCCAGTAAAAACGGCCTATTAGTATACCTTTACGTACCTTCACATACCTTTACGTACCTTTACATAATAAAGGTATATTACGATACTTTATACACACATACAAAGATAAGGAGGTAAAGTTGTAGGTATAGGTTATGCCACGAGAATTATGTATAAGTTATGAGCGCTGAACTTGACTTGAATACGCAGAGTAACAATTTAGGTAATTTTGTGTTATATACGAGTTTAAGAGATATGTTTTTATATGCGTTTATAAGAGTTTTCTTATATATGCATATAAAACCCAAATAGTAATTAACACTGGTGTGTTGTGTGTGACTGGTAAGCATTTTGTAGGTAACAATAGGTATATATGTAAACAAACAATAATGAAACTTACATCAAGATGATCTTCACAACAATAAACACTACTGGTGGCTTCGACGTGTCGAATTGTGACGTCACATAGCTATACGGAGCAAAGCGGTAGCCCTTACCGTAAAACACCACTTTACTCATAAATATTTCGTCATTTTTAAAGGTAGAAAAAAAATAAAAATACCATTGAATTCGTAATTTTTTATACAATATTTTGATACCCTTAATAAAATTCAGGGCCAGACCCATTTCGTTGGTGCCGGACGAGATTGAACCTGGAGTTGCTGCTCTCTATCCCGACCTCTTTTGAGTGTATACGGCATCAGTTTATTCAATAAAATAATAACTTTTGCTGAAATATAATATATTATCACAAAACCTAACCTTTTTTTTACATGGCGAAATGCCTACGCATACCCGCCTCGCGGGGGCAAGGACGGTTTATGTCAGACTCGCACCGACTAAAACCCCATGGTGTTCCACCCT